GCTTGGGGCTGAGAGTATTGAGCAAGCGAAGGTCTCCGGGCTTGGGGCAGGGCATGCAGAGGTCTTGGGGCCCACGACTGTTTACCTGACTGAGAACAGTAGGACCTTACAAGGAGATTGGACCTGGGCCTGGGGTGGACTCCTCAGTTCTCCCCCATTCCCACCCTGTCCCTTCGGGGCTGCCTTGTGCAGTGGTGCAGGTTGGGTACTGCACGGAGGCCCTGGCTGAGGCACGGCTGTCTGCACTGGGGGCACAGGTTGGACCGTGTCTACGGCAGCCTCAGGACATGGGAGTCAGGTGTCTTCAGAAAGGGCACCTTTGTCCACTGTCTGGGGAGGTTCCAGCCTTGGCTGCGTCTTCCCCAGTGACCTTCCTGGGCGCCGTGGCCCTCCCAGCTGCTCAGACGCGGGCTCCAACCTCAGCCTCTGCACTTGGCCTCTCCGTGTCTTGGTTCCCTTTGCTGATGGGTGTGGTCCCTGTGCAGGAGTCCTGTGTGCACTCAGCAGAGTAGCGCCCAAGGCTCTCAGCGCCTGGCACCAGCCTCCACGCGTCCGCGGGGGGAGTGTTGTCCTCGAGCAGGCCTTGTCTCCCCCACATCCGATCCACGCCCACTGAAGCCTCAGCCACGGGCTTGCTCCCCTGCTGGCTTTCTCCCTAGGCCACAGGCCACGGCAGGATGTCCCCTGCTTGGTCCCCTTGAAGCTTGGGCCACCGTGTGTGGCTGTCCCCTCTCCCTGGGGAGCACCTGCTGTCCCCATTTGTCTCCCTAGAGGGCCCCATGGTGGGTGGCACTAGCAAGAAATCAGGTGTCCGGCTCCCGGAAGTCTCTGAAGCCCATCCTGTAAGAGCTGCGTCACATCACAGCTGGTCTCTGGCCTCCGGGGCTCGCCCCGGCCCGCTCTCTCCATAGCTGCCACCAGAAGTGCGGCCACCGGAGCTCCCTGCACTTCCCTGGGGACGTGTTTGCCACTCCCGAGCGGGGCGGAGGCAGCCCTGCCCAGGGTCCCATACCCTACCTGGACGACGACATCCCCTTGCTGAATGTGGAGGAGGAGCAAGGTGAGAGCTGGCACAGGCCCTGGGCCTGCCCCTGCTGGGCGAGTGACCTTTGCCATAGGGTTCCCCCGCAGGGCTGGGTGGGGAGACCCGTGGGTGCCCATTACAGCAATGGAGCCTCCTGGAGAGGGTGAGGGCCAGCGTGGGCCATGACAGAGCTTCACTCTGCCTGGCAGTGTCGCTGGAGCTCGGAGATGTGTCCCTGGTGTCTGTGCCTCCTGTGGGCCTGCAGCCTCCCCCCGACAGGGGCAGCCGGGGCCACCTCATCATACAGCTGCAGGAGCTGCTGCACCACTGGGTCCTGTGGTCAGCCGTCAAGAGCCGCTGGGTGATTGTGGGTAAGTGGGCTCCTCTCCAGTGCTCGGGGTAGGGGCTGACTCCCCCCATGGCCATGCAGGCGGTGGGATCCCGCCCCTCCCACAGAGTCCCTTGCCCTCTCTCAGCCTCACTTCTTCCTGCACAGATGCGGCTGGTGCCACAATAACTTACTTACTGGGCACCTGCTATGTGGCCGCCGTGATGCTGGCCAAGACAGCGGAGTCTTCGTGCTTGGCTCTGGAGTTAGACCAGCTTGGCTGAGGCTTTGTGTGCTGGTTTTTACCTATCTAAGAGGCAGAGAGGAAGCTCCTATCTGCTAGTCCGCTGCCCTGGCCTGCAGCAGCCAGGGCTGGGCCAGAGGCAGGAGCTGGGAGCTCAGTCCAGGTCTCCCGTGTGGGCGGCAAGAACCCCACTACTTGAGCCCTCGCTGCTGCCTCCCAGGCTCTGGATCGGCAGCAAGCGGAGTCAGGAGTGGAAACCAGAAATCAAACCCAAACCCTCCAGTGTCGTAACCACTGGGCTCAACATCCACCCCAGCTTGGCCGCGTTTGACCCCTGGTTCTGCCATGTTGCCACTGCGTGGCCTGGGCTGCTGGCAAGCCTGCCCCCCAAGAACAGCATCCGAATGAGGCAGCCGAGGAAGGCAGCAGCCGTGCAGGTCGTGGCCACGTGCAGGGCGTGCAGCGTGCCCCACAGACCTGAAGGGCTGTCAGCCGTCAAGTGCGTGTGCCACTCCTTACAAACTGCTCGGTGCTCGGAGTGCCGGCTGGGCGATGGCTCGGTCAGATCCAAGCGACACCACGCGTCCCAGCCTGCCCCAGCCTGGAGGAGCTGCCCCTAGCTCACGCCACCCGCAGCGTCACCCCTAGTGAGAGAGCTCTTGCCCAGGCGTGGGGCCCGGCCCCGCCTAGCGCGGTGTCCTTTCCTCGCAGGGCTCTTCGTCTCCATCCTCATCCTCTCCCTAGTGTTCGCCAGCCGGCTCCGCCCCGCCAGCCGGGCGCCGCTGCTCTTCCGGCCCGACACCAACATCCAGGTGCTGCTGGACCTCAAGTACAACCTGAGCGCCGAGGGCATCTCGTGCATCACCTGCTCAGGTGAGGGGCCCGGCCCTCCCCGGTGTCCAGGTCTCAGGCTCTCGGCCTTGGACTTGTAAGACCTGGGCTCCCCGTCGCCGTGTGGCCTCAGGAACCTCCCTCCTGCTTCTGAGCCTCCGTGTCCCCACGTCTCGTGGAACAAACACCTCCTGGGTGCGGCCGTGCACTGGCTCTGGCGGTGTCTGTGGGCAGAACATCAGACTTCGTCCAGCTCAGGGAGGCCACATCCCAGCGCTGGGAGTGAGCCGTTGTCGGGAGACGTGAGTGTAGGCCGAGGAGGAGCATGGTGCCTCGGAAGGCGTCTTGGAGGAGGTGAGGTCTGAGGAAGGCTGGCAGTGTGGGAAGGAGTTAGGCCACGGGGCGGAGGGCTGGGGGAGGGGAGGGAAGGGCAGGAGTCCAGGCAGTGAGGACTCTGGGTTCTGTCCTGTCACTGGAAACTGGGGTGGGGGTGGGGCTAGGCCACAGCTGAGTCCCTGGGTGCCGTGTGGAGTGGTGCCGTGGGGAACGGGGCCAGCGAGCCAACAGTGGCAGAGGAGCTGGGGCTTTTAGGCGATTTCCACGGGACTTGGTGGTGGAGCAGGTGCCAGGGTGAGCGAGGAAGGGAGCGGGAGCTGTCGCCCTGCCGTGTGGTGTCGTCCAGCCGCTGAGTTTGCACACAGGGAGTCTGCGGTCAGGGGTGGGGCCCCACAGCGCGCCTGGGCAGCGAGAGAGCAAATGGGAGGCACTTGAGCGAGAGCCTCCAGCTCACGGGAGAGGATCCGCTGACCTGACCGCAGTAATTGCTTCCATTTAATTAGGGCGGTGTTCAGATGAACCTGGCCCTCCCTTTGGTTGTGACATTCGCCAAGTGCGTGGTAATTGACCGTAGCACAGAGAGGTGCCCGAGAGTCCCTCATGGATCGGAGCCAGCGCCGGCCACGTGCCCAGCTCCTCTCCCCAACGCGTGGGCACAGGCTCTGGCCCCAGCATCTCTGCTGTACAAAGCCTCTGCCTGCCCCAGGACCTCAGCCCCACTGTGGTCCCAGGGCCCCCAGCCAGGCCCAGCCCCTGCGCCTCTTCTCTCTCTGAACTGGCTCTTAGAGGGACCTCTTGGTGAACTCTGGGAAGGGCAGAAATGCAGGCTCCCAGGGGGCCCTGCGGGTCACGGTCACGTGCTGTGCAGGTCACACACCCCCTGAACCTCTGCTTTGTCTTCTGTCAAAAGGTGAATGATAATGACCTGGGATTACAGTGAGCTCTCAGTTAAACACACACACAAGCTAAGCCACGCTGCTTGAGGCAGGGCGAGAATGGGAGCCACCAGGCCTGCCCGTAGTCAGTCCCACTCCGCCACCACGTGTGAGCCGCAACGACCTAGAGCTGAATCCTCAGCCCGTGGCAGGGAGGGGGGTGGGTCGGAAGAGCGAGAGCACCCTCCCCGCCCCCTCCACTCCCGAGCCCCGGGGCCGGCCGGGGAGGCCCTGCTGTGGCTGATGGAGTGGGGGGCAGGTCTGTTCCAGGAGAAGCCCCGCAGCCTGCAGAACAACATCCGGACCTCCCTGGAGAAGAAGAAGCGAGGCCCAGGCCCGGGAGTGCCCTGGGCCGGCCGGCCCGAGGCCGCCCCACAGGGTCAGTGCTGGGTCAGGAGCTCCTCCCCGGGGCTGGGAGTAGGACTGCCTGCGCAGGGAACAGGTGGAACGCATCCTCGAATGTCCTGTGGGGCACCCAGGGGCCTCGGCCACCAGCCCAGCAGCTCCCCCGGGCCAGAACAGCCTGGCCTGTGGTGTGCCGGGGGTGGGGCGGAGGCGGGGCCGTCCTGAGCCCTGCAAGCTGGCACTGCGTGTGGCAGGGCCCTGAGGGACTGGAACCCCCAAGGCAGGACCCTCTGTCCTTACCGCCTCGTGGCGCCAGCCCCGTCCTCCCCAGCGTCCCCGCCAGCAGCAGCCCCGCCACTCACGCCGCGGACTCCCGTCCCCAGCACATCTTCCCAGCATCCCTGCCACCTGTGCTGCCCGCCCCGCTGTGACCACTTCCATCTCCCCCGAGCTGTGCAGAGAGAGGGCCAGGGCCAGGTTGGGGCTCAGCTGCTCGGGATCGGGGGTCCAGGGAGGCCGGTTGCAGTGACCACCCCTTGCTTGTCCCTAGACGCCCCAGGCACCGTGTACGTCTCCAGAGTGAAGAGCAAAGGCCACCCTGCTGTCTACAGGCTGTCCCTCAACGCCAGCCTGCCCGCCCCCTGGCAGGCCGTGTCCTCCGGGGACGGAGAGGTGCCCTCCTTCCAGGTGAGCCTGGGCTGCTGTGCGCTGAGCCACAGCCACGGGGAGGGGCCTCCGGGAAGCAGGGGCTTTGAGGACGAAACTGCTGCGGGCAGATCAGTGTCCCCACCCCCACCTCCCGCAGCCAGGCCTGTGGCGGGGTCCTGCAGGGTGAGCTGGCGTGGGCTCCCGGCTCAGCAGGCCTCAGTCTGAGTCCGAAGACAGCTCTGTCTTTGGGGAGATGACTTAACCCCTCTGCTGTGACGGGGGTGAAGGAGGCAGCGGTAGCTCCTGGCTGGCTGGCGGCCGCCCTTCTCGTTCACCCCCCTGTGCCCCGCATGTGGCCCCTGGCGTGGCACCAGCCTGAGAACCGCAGCCCTGCCCGGCCTCTGTGCCTTGCTGGCAGGGACTGTGCCCATGGCGCTTGCCGCACCCGCAGGACCCGGCCCAGTGCCTGCACAGAGTAGACACTCGGTGAACTTTGCCTCCCAGAGAGGCAGGGAAGGATTGGTTCAGCTTGCAGACTCAAACCAGGCCCCCTGAGCCTCTGCCCAGGGCTCTGTCCCCCACTCCGGGGCTGGGACAGGCGGGACAGGCGAGGAGGGAGGGGACGGCCCCCGAGGCCGGGCCCGCCGAGGCAGCCTCCCCGAGTCACGTGTCTTTCTCTGTCAACCCACTGCTTAGGTGTATAGAGCGCCTTTCGGTAACTTCACCAGGAAGCTGACCGCTTGTATGTCTACAGTAGGGCTGCTCCAGGCGGCGAGCCCCTCCCGCAAGTGGATGGTGACGACCTTGGCCTGTGACGCCAAGCGGGGCTGGAAGTTTGACTTCAGCTTCTACGTGGCCGCCAAGGAGCAGCAGCACACGCGGTAATGACGCCAGTGCCCTCCGCGTGGGAGTGCCTTCCCCTCGCTGTCCTGTGCCCAGGCTCTGTCTCATGGGAGATGCCAGCAGGCACCTCCAAGACACCCCTGTTCAGGTCAGATGCTTCTCTGCCCAGGACTGGGGAGCAGGGAACGTTGGCTAAGGGACCAGGCCTGGAATTTGCCCCCCTCACCATTACTGATGTCCCTTCTGATGGCTGTGGAGGGGTCACAGGGGCCCTCTTGCTGCTCCTTAAGCGAAATGCTACACCTCAGGGCCTTTGCAGGTGCTGTCCTCTGCCCAGCAGGCCCTTGCCCAGCTCCTCATGTGGTTGACTTCTCAAGATTCAGGTCTCTAATTGGTTGGGCCATCCCTGAGCTCCCGCCCTGTCGGGAACTGCCCCACCCAGTCTCTGCACACTCACCCACCACTCCCTCTGGCCCCAGCATTGCTGAGTTCTTGCTGATCTGCACTGTTCCTTGCCTCTCACACATCTGCCTCCTGCAGTGGCCCTTTAACTGTGTCCATGCTAAGCCACAGGCACACAGCGAGGGCTCAGTCATGCTCGCTGAATGAATGAATGAATGAATGAGGACACTCTTCTCCACCAACGCCCTTATCCACTCTGAACATGTAACTCATTCAGAAAATACTTACATAATGCAAGGTGAGGGGTGCGGGCGGTTGCACACTCAGCCCTGCCTAGTGCCAGGCAGGACGGAAGTGGACTTGTGGACAGGAGGCTGCACTCTGTGCTTCCTGGGACCCCCAGGCCGGCCGCAGCGTCTCTTCCCACTTTTATTCCCATGTTCTGGGCTTTCCTCTCTGCTCCTGTCCAAGGAGGCCATGCTGGCAAGTCTGCCCCCCCAACCCCATCCCCTCACTGATTGGATAAGCACTGAGCGCTGACTGCTGTGCTGTGCTGGGGCTGGGGACAGTGGGGAGCGAGGCAGACATGGCTCCCGCCCCCGGGGCTGTCCAGCGGGAGACAGGCATCGACCAGGCGGAGGGCGATGTCACAGCAGACGGGGACACGTGCTCAAAAAGAGGCCGCCCGGCGCTCAGGGCCCTGCCGAGTCCTGCCCTGTGACACGGGGGGGACGGTGGCCCCTGGCAGAGGTGCTTCAGGGTATTAAACCGAGCACTGCGTGGGGAGGAGGGGTGCGGTTTGGAGGCAGGGAGTCTGGGGGTTCCCCTGAGCCGCATCAGGCGCAGAGGGCAGCAACGGCTTCAGCGTGGAACCCTTGCTTCAGACACCATCTTGGCTGTCCCGGTGCAGGCCAGGCTCGAGCAGGGACTACCACCGCTGACCGAGGGGCCCTGCCCTTCCCCAGAGGCCTCTTTGGAAGCCGCTGGGCTCCTCTGCCCCTCCCTCTCCTGCCACCTGCAGAGAGACTGAGACCAGGAGCTCAGTGCTGGCAGGGGCAGGCCTAGAGCAGCCTGCAGACCCCTGTGCCTCGACACGGCTGCACTGGCCCCCCTGACCCCGACCCCTGGCCTCCTGGCCGCCCTTGCCTCCACAGGAAGCTGTACTTCGCTCAGTCCCACAAGCCCCCATTCCACAGGCCGCGTGTGCCTGGCCCCTCCCGGCTGCCTGCTCAGCTCCAGCCCCGACGGGCCCACCAAAGGCTTCTTCTATGTCCCTAGTGAGAAAGGTACTGTGGGGGACACGTGGTGGGGGACCTTGGGAGCCGGGGCCCCACCTTCCCTGACAGCTCTGACCCCTCCTGTAGCGCCCAAGGCCCGGCTCTCGGCCACCTTCGGCTTCAACCCCTGCGTGAACACGGGCTGCGGGAAGCCAGCGGTGCGGCCGCTCGTGGACACAGGGGCCATGGTCTTTGTGGTCTTTGGCATTATCGGCATCAACCGCACGCGGCAGGTGGACAACCATGTCATCGGGGACCCGGTAGGCTGCCGGGCCCGCTCAGGGCTGGTGCCCGAGGGCTTGCCCGCCCAGCTGCACACGTGCCCGCCTGGCTCTTGGTGGCTCAGCCAGCCCAGGCGGGACCCCACGGGGTTGACCCTTTAGAGTTGCCCTGAACCCAGGAACATTTGGGGGCCCAGGCTGGCAGTCTCAGGTGCGCGTTGGAGATGGGGGAGACACAGGCAGGTGAACCTCTGCCTCTCCCGCAGCCCTGGCTGCCAGCTGCAGCCTCGGTGCTTGTGAGGCCTCCCTCCCTGCCCCGGGGGCACAGCTTGGAAGGTGCCGGCTGGGCTGGGACTGCCTGGCACAGAACAGGTGCCGAGAGTGTGTGGTGGGAGGGCTTGGTGGGCAGGTGCACCACAGAAGCCACCATCTGGCTGGGCGCCAGGCACAGCAGTCGGGGCCTGAGTCGGGGGCAGGGTGGAGGTGGGTGGGGGACAGAGCGAGTCTGAGTGTTGGGAGCAGCGTAGCAGGGAGGGCACGGGGCAGCGGCTGGCGCAGAGGCAGCTGTGGGTGTGGGAGCAAGCACCAAGTGCAGGTGAAGCGGGGTGGGCGCTGCCAGAGGCAGAGGTGCTGGTAGGGCCGGGGTGACCGTGCAATGGGTGGGGGACCGGGGCTAGGGCCACCGAGGGTGGGTGGTCCGTGGTGAAGTCCTCGTCTCACTGAGTGGCCCTGGCCTGCTTGTGTCTCCTTGCGAAAGGGCAGTGTCGTCTACGATGGCAGCTTTGACCTCTTCAAAGAAATCGGACACCTGTGTCGCCTGTGCAAAGCCATCGCCGGCAACTCGGAGCTGGTGAAGCCGGGCGGGGCCCAGTGCCTGCCGTCAGGTGCGCGGGGTCCGGGCCAGGTGGGAGGGACACGTTTGCGGACACAAGTCTGCACTTGAGCGTGTCTGCACGGGTAGGGAACAGGCCTGCGTGTGAGTGGGACTTGGCGCAGTGGTCACTGGGGGCGGGGGTGGGGGCAGCAGGAGCTTTTGTAAAGTTGGGGGTGAGGCTGGGGTGGGGGCTGGCCGAGGCCTGGCCGGGGTTGTCCCCGGGAGGCCCAAGGTGTCGGTGTCCACCCCACTGGCAGATGGGCACGGCGGGCTTCCCAGTGCCAGCGCCAGCAGTGAGCGCGCGTGCACGGGTGTGGCGGGCTAGCGCCGGGCCCCTGCCCACTCCGCTCTGGCCTCTCCCCACAGGCTACAGCATCTCCTCCTTCCTGCAGACGCTGCACCCGGAGTGCGAGGAGCTGCCCGAGCCCAACCTGCTGCCGGGGCAGCTGTCGCACGGGGCCGTGGGCGTCAGGGAGGGCCGTGTGCAGTGGATCTCCATGGCCTTCGAGTCGGTGAGCCCGGGCGCCCGCTGGCCCCGCATGCTGCTTGCCTCCAGGGTCGCACCCCGCAGGGGGACACTGAGGCCCAGAGAGGTGGAGAGGCTTGCCCGTGGTCGCGTGGTTAGTGAGTGTCAGTGTCCTACCTGGACAGCCGCCTGCCCGCTGAGGGGAGCTGTGCCCTTGCAGCCCACAGGTGCCAGCCAGCACCACTTCTGCTGCCGCCACCGCCCCCATCCCCAGGTCCAGGGTTCGTGTCATTTTTTTAGTCTCTGGGGATAGAGGGGCTGCGGGAGTCTAGGATGCCCCCTTCTGCCACTGTGGAAGGCTGGGGTCTGGGCCATGGAGCCTGGTGGGGCTCCCCCAGGTGGCCAGGGGAGGGCAGGCTGGAGACCAGGGACTGGCCATCCCGCCCATCCCCCCTGCACTGTCGCCTGTTGCGCTTCTGGGCTCTACACTGCACACACGGACATGCACACGCACGCCTCCCTGACCGGGGCCTCCAGGCGGCCCTGGCCCTGACCCTGGCTCCCAGGCTTGGCAGAGCTTTCTTCCTGCTGCCTCTGCTGGGTACGCTGGTCCTGGAGCAAATCTGTAGCAGGGGCAGAGGTCCCGGCCCCCAGCAGCTGTGGAGACCCCGTGACTATGCGAGCGAGCTTGGGACAGCACTGGGGAGTGAGAAAAATGGACTGACTCGCGTGGGGCGCCACTGCCGGCCTGGGCTCCAGCATCGCTGTCCCCTGCTGCACCAGCACCAGGACCGCCGGCCCCAGCCACGAGGGCCCAGGCTTCACAGACGCCGGCCGGAGCTCAGGACCGCTCTGCCAGCTTTGTTTATGAACTCCGTGCAGCACACACAGGAAGACTGCATCTCCGCCTCTCCGCCACTGTCACACCCGCAGCTTGAGGCCTGACCCCAGCCACACCCGTCACCCTGCAGGGCCCCGCCACCTCCCGCCCTGCACCTGTTTCCCCGCCTGCGCCCAGCCCGGCCACAGCGTCTGCTCTTCTGTGTCGCAGTCCTGCTGGGAGGGTCCTGTTGCACTTGGCGGAGCAGGCCTCAGTCCAGGCCCAAGCCCCAGGTCCTGGCCAGGCTCAGCCTCCCGCCGGGTGTCCCTGCTCACGCTGACCCCGCGACCTCTCAGACGCGCGCATGGGCACGGACAGGCTGCACGCTGGCTCACGCTCAGTGAGAGCAGCACTGGCTCAGTGAGGGAACACGGAAGAAAGTTCCGGAGCGGGACAAGTGCCTGACTCCTCCAGGGCGGGGCTGGGCGCTGACCCTGGTGGGCTGCGCGTGCCCTCTGGGGGCTGGGTGGCCAGGCAGTGATAAACCGTGATGGGGAAACACCGGGGGCATGACAGGAGCCCGAGCAGGCTTGCAGGCTGGGGAGCTGGCTGTGCAGGCCCGGGCCCGGCCTGTGCAGACGGTGGGACACGGGGGCACGGGGGTTCCGGGAGCTGGAGGTGGTGGCCCTGGGAAAGGACAGGGAGGTGGCTGCCCACAGCCTGGCGGAGCCACACGCTGCCCCCAGAGGCCGGTGGGAGCTCGCTGTGGAGGGAGGGGCGAGCAGCCCACAGCCCCCACCTGCCTCACCAGCTCATGTCGCCCGCAGACCACGTACAAGGGCAAGTCCTCCTTCCAGACCTACTCGGACTACCTGCGCTGGGAGAGCTTCCTGGAACAGCAGCTGCAGGCCTTCCCCGAGGGCTCGGCCCTGCGCCGCGGCTTCCAGACCTGCGAGCACTGGAAGCAAATCTTCATGGAGATCATAGGCAAGCAGGGGCGGGGCTGGGGCACGGCCAAGGGCCCTGGGAAGCCAGGGTGACGCAGCGGCCGGGACGCCCCTCAGTGGCCAGGGGTGGGTCCTGCCCTGTCTGGGGCACCTGGCCGCCCTCTCTAAAGTGTGACCGTTGTGTGTAAGCTGCATTGTGAGCCCTTCTAGCGCCAGGCCCTGTGCTGAGGGCCCGGCCACGCTGGCTCCTAAACTCCCTTGGGGTAGGTCCGGCTGGTACCCCTGGTTTACAGATGCAGAAATGAAGGCCAGAGGGGTCAGGTGGCTTGCCCAGAGCGGCACAGCTGGTGGCCCAGCCTGGCCAGCCACGCAGCCGCAGGAGCCCCTGAACGGTGGGCGGGGTGGTTGCAGCCACCTGAGCCCCTCCCCGCCCCCCGCAGGAGTGCAGAGCGCGCTGTCCGGCCTGGTGCTCTCCCTGCTCATCTGTGTGGCGGCCGTGGCCGTGTTCACCACCCACATCCTGCTCCTGCTGCCCGTGCTCCTGAGCATCCTGGGTACGTGGGCGGTGGGCGTGGCGGCGGCAGGGACAGGGACAGGCAGCAGCGCCCGGAGCCTCCAGCCCACAAGTCTCCCCAGAGAAGGCTTCCCGGCCACGCTGGCTGGCAGGAAAGCACTGCGGTGACAGTGGCTCCTGGGACGGCACCCACAGGCCAGTGTCCCTGCCCCGCCCCCAGCAGTGTTAGCCTGGTGTCTTGTTGCCGCACCTGTCCCCTCTCTGTGGCCCTGGTCTTGCCTGTCCCTCCTGTCACCTGAAGTGGGGCAGGACCCAGAATTCCTGCTCCCCAGGTTCCTCCAGGGCGGTGCGGGTGGGGCTGGGACTCAGACCCTCGTCCCGCAGGCATCGTGTGCCTGGTGGTGACCATCATGTACTGGAGCGGCTGGGAGATGGGCGCTGTGGAAGCCATCTCCCTGTCCATCCTGGTCGGCTCCTCGGTGGACTACTGCGTCCACCTGGTCGAGGGCTACCTGCTGGCTGGAGAGAACCTGCCCCCCCACCAGGACGAGGTGAGCCCCTGCCTGCCCCCTGATTCTCCTCCTGCCTCTGCGCAGCTTGGGGGACCCCCAAAACAACGGGACACCCCAGTAGCCGGCCAAGGTCCCAGGGCCTCAGACTCTAAGGGCAACCAGGCCCTCGCAGCTCCGTGCACGCTCCCCAGCCTCAGTCTCCCCAGGTGAGCTAAGAGGGAGGGGGTGGGGCCAGGCAAGAGGATGAACGCGGAGGCTTCCCGCTCAGGCCCCCTCAGCCTCTGTGCCCTTCTGCAGCCCTGGGAGCAGCGGCTGCGCTGTGGCGGCTGAGGCAGCTGTGCCCAAGGCCACGGCCCCTCCCCTCTGCCTGCTGCTCCTGTCCTGGTGCCCGGGCCAGCGCTGCGGCCGCCAGGGTTGCTTTGCCTTTTTTCTTTCCTAGTTGGCACTGGTGTGAAGATAACTCCCAAATCTTTAAAAATTGTGTCAGTTAACACGTGTAGCTTGCTTTGGGTCAAAAGAACAAAATCAGTGCCCTCAGGGCTCCCACCTCGCGGACCCACGTGCAAACGCCCCGGTCCCTGTGACCAGAGCTGCCTTAACTCGCACGGCCGCGCCCCTGCGGTCACCCACTGACAGCGCGGGAGCCGGGGCCGCTGGCGCAGGGCCGACCAGGACGCCAGCCCCAGCGCTCCCTCCATCTCGCTCTGGCCGCAGGACGCGGGCGCGCAGCGCCAGTGGCGGACACTGGAGGCCGTGCGGCACGTGGGCGTGGCCATCGTCTCCAGCGCGCTGACCACGGTCATCGCCACCGTGCCACTCTTCTTCTGCATCATCGCGCCCTTCGCCAAGTTCGGCAAGATCGTGGCGCTCAACACGGCCGTGTCCATCCTCTACACGCTCACGGTCAGCACGGCGCTGCTCGGCGTCATGGCGCCCGGCTCCTTCACACGCACCAGGACCTCCTTCCTCAAAGCGCTGGGTGCCGTGCTGCTGGCGGGGGCCCTGGGCCTGGGCGCCTGCCTCGTGCTCCTGCGCAGCGGCTACAAGATCCCCCTGCCCAGCGGAGCCTCCCTCTAGCCCGCGCGGGGCCTCCGTGCGCCGGGAGCGGCGCCAGCAGTGCACGCTGCGCGCTGTCCACGCTGCGGCCTTCCTCTGGCGCCAGGTGGGGCTGGGCCTCGGCACTGCTCTCTTCCCGTCGTCACTGCGGGCTCACGCCCGCACCTGGCCTGGGTGTCCCCACCAGCCCGTGGAAACTGAAACGCAAGACGCGGAGACTGCCCGCTGGCCTGGGTCTCCCTTCGCGCCTGCGCAGGAAGGCGCGGTGGGCGGGCCTCACCCAGGCCCTTCAGTGCCTGGCTGCAGACGACAGGGACCCAATTTTGGGTTCTGCATGTCCTACCCAGGACCCAGCCTCTGGGGCTCCTCGAAGAACCCCCCTGGGAGCTGTGGGGCCCCAGCCCTGCCCAGCCTGCTTCACAGACCCAAGCCCCCGTCTCCATGACCCAGCTCTGCAGGTGTGTGGGGTGGCCCGTACCTGCCGCCTGCTCACGGCAGATAGTTCCTGATAAAGTGCAGTGACACTGCTGACGCCGCGTTTACACGGGCACTTGACCAGCGTCGGTGCCACCACACTCGCGACGACTGCCTGCAGCCCATCAGAGCCCCGCAACAGGGAGGGCCCGGGACCTGGAAGGAGGTGGGGTGGGTGGAGGGTGCCCGCCCTCCGGGAACAAGGGCCGGAGCGCTCGGGGCACCCAGCGGGAGCTGAGGCACTTGGGGCCACCTTCAGATGCCTGATGCACCAGGCACTGGCCTTTTCTGGGGGGGCAGGGGGACATTTTATTTGTTATTAGAGAGGCAGAGAGCTTTTCCGTCTGCTGGTTCACACCCCGAATGCAACAGCCAGGGCTGGGGCAATCCAGGTCCCCCGTGTGGGTGGTAGGGCCCCAAGTTCTTGAGCTGCCACCGCTGCCTGTCGGGGGGCGCATTAGCAGGAAGCTGCAGTCGGGGAGCAGAATCCAGGCCCTGCCCCATGGGTGCAGGCGTCCAGCGATAACCCTGGCACAAGCACTCGTCTAAAGTCTTTGGTCTGTGGCCAAAGCACCCATCTGTGGTACTTTGTTATGACAGCCACAGAAACTGAGCAAACCCAGAGACCTGTGTCAGCCACTGCTGCCCGCTGCCCGCTGCCCGCGCCCCGTCTGCACCGGGGAGGGTGGGCGTGGAGATCGGGTTCCTGCACAAGGACTGCACGGTGCTCTGTGCCAGGTGTGCACCTGGGGAGGGGTCCCAGCTGTGCAGCTCTGCCTCACAGCCCCGGCCCCAGCCTTGGGAACTGCTTTCCCACCGTGAGGGCTCAGACCCGGCTCAGTCCCGGCTCAGTCTGTATCCGGCTTCACCAAGCGTGCGGCTGGGGGTCGGAGCAGCGCTTGACACACTTTGGGACGCCTGCGTCCCACACGGAGAGCCTGCATGTGAGTCCCAGGTTCCTTTCTGATTCAGCCTCCTGCTAGTGCACCCTGGGAGGCAGCAGGTGACGGCTCCGTTGCCTGGTCCCTGCCACTCCCATGGGAGACCTGGACTGAGTCGCAGGCTCCTGTGCAGCCAGTGCTGGCTGTTGAAAGCATTTGGGGAATGAACTGTGTGGCGTGTTCCATGTGGCGTGTGGCTCCATCACTCTGGTCCCGGCAGGGGACATCGCAATGGAGCGTCGTCCTGTGACACGGGAGCCCCCTGAGCCCAGCCCTGAGTGTCATGGCCCAGGGGAAGGGCCAGCCCTGGGCACACAGCCCTCTGGCAGCCCTTAGATGGGAGAGGCCGCCTTGGCAGGGGGTGTCCTATGCCCACAGCTACAGAGGGGTGGTGCTCCCTGGAGGAGGCCAGGTGGGCGGGGCGGGGGAGGGGACACCCCAGAAGGTGCCTAGAAAAAGTCCTTGTCCTGACACCTTCCCAATGACCTGGTTTGGATGTGGAGGCGGGCTCATCTGCATACTATTTGCATGCAGACCAAGGGAGCCATTCCCTTTGCCCCTTCTCTTGCTTTTAAGGCGAAGCTCCTCTGCCTCCCCATCTCCACCTGCCTCTGTCTTCAGGGTGCCTGGAGGGTGGCGGGCAGGGCCCAGGGGGCCAGGCTGTGCCACTGCCACCTCCCCCCACGGTGGCTGGGGCGCCCGGGCACCCATGCGGCTCTGCTGGGACCTGCGTGACGCTCCTGCGGGTTGGGTTCCCAGTCCAGGGCTGAGCATCCTAGGAAATAGGAAGAGCACACAGCACGTTGGATTCGGGCCAGCTCACCCTGGGGGCGGCCTTCTCAGCTGCACAGCTGTTTGGCCTCAGAATTCATCTGTCCTTGTCCCCTGGGGCCCTGCAGGACGCCTGATCCGTCCGCCTCCCAGGGGCGAGGGCCAGGACAAGGCTGGGGGAGGGTGTGGGTCACAACGTAGGAACTCCGGGGATGGGGGCCACACTGCTGGCTGCTTCCTTGCCTGCAAATGCACCCCCCTTCGTTGTGCTTGTGACCGTCGGGGCCAGAGGGTCCCAGAAGCCCTGACCGCCATGGATAGGACCTTGACCGACCTGTGCTACTGATGCGCAGCTCCTGGTCTTAGAGCTGTCACACGTTGGTGGGATGCCCTTGGTCGGCTCGGGCACAGCAGTCGGCCTGAGTTCTGTGAGGATGCACAGGCAGAGGACTGTCACCTGCCCCCTCCCAGAGCCCTAGCTCCTCCCCCTTCCTGTGGAGGCCAGGAGCCCTCATGGACAGCCAGCTTTCCCGGGGCGCCTGCGGCCCACGTGCTCTGCACGCCTTCCCAACTCTCTCAGCAGCAAGGACTTGAACCCTTTTCACTCCTGGGGGAACGGGAGCACTGCGACATGAGCTCTGTGCGTGTCTCCCTCCCGAGCTGACAGTGGACCTGAGAGAGGACAGGGCTGTGCCCACCCCCTTCTGCCCAAAGAAGCCAGGTTTTGCCCCGGGCAGCGGGGTGGGGAGGTTGGAGGATGGGGATACAACCAGAGGATTCAAAAAGCCCAAGACCATTTTATGCCTGTCTGATTGGGAAACACCCGTGCATCTGCCCGCCGCTCGTCCGAGGCTCTGGGGAAGCAGGCGCTCCGCACTGCCAGTGGGAGCCTGCAGGAGCGTGCAGGAGAACCCAGAGGCAGCTCTTACGTTGCCGTCACCCTGGCCTTCCAATTCAGCAGCTGTGCCTCTGAGAACTGAGCCCAGCCCAGCACGAGGTCAGGCGCCGCCAACATCCGTCAGCACAGGGATGGGTGAGGGTTGCCCGGCCCCGTCTTTGCACAAAGCAGGCTGTCCTGCAGCTGCCGAGGAAGCTGGAGCCACGTGGCATGTGCCCATGTGGAAAAATCTCCAATGCACATGAGACGGGGAAGAACAGGTTGCAAAACAGTGTGGGAAACAGAAATATGCAAGCTTATGGGTGCAAAACACAGACAAGTGAGAAGTGTGTTCATTTGTGTGTGCGTATGCAGAGGGAGTCTGGGGGAAACTGGAACGGTGGTTCCCCGGCAGGGTGCCAGGTGGATGGCAGAGACGCAGGAGACTGGCCTTAAAGACCTTTGCACTCTGGGGGCTGGGCTGCAGGAATGTGTCACCCACGTGACTTCTGCAAGCAGGAAAGAGGAGGCTGTCATTTGCTCCTTAGAAAGCTCACTGGCTGCAGGGCTGAGGGTGGAAGGAGGCAGGGAGAACAGTGAGAAGGAGAGAAGGGACCCTCCCCCAGCCCCCACCACAGGCGGCATCAAGCATCAGCCAAAGGGCACGGCATGGCATGCACGCCCGTCCGCTCTGGGCCGTGGGGCTGGAGCCTTGGCGTGGTCAGGGCGGGGCATGGCAGCTGAGGGAGGCTGGAGTTGGCCAGGCAGCCACAGAAATCATCCTCTGTCTCTGTCAACTCCACGGATCGGAGAAGGCCCGTGCTCAGCCTTAGCCTGTCCGCTCGCCCACTACATCGGATGATACCCATCGTGCACAGCGGCTGGGTTAATCAGCAGTGCCCGCTGTGCCTTCACTGCCGTCACCGTTGTCACCAAACACGTGGCTCCCACTCGAGGTGGCGTCTGTGTGCTGGAGTTACAAAACACAATAAACGGGATGCTGACCGGCTCGTGAAAAACTCCATTTAAAAATGAGTATTTTGGTGGAAGATAATTTTTTTTTATTTTTTTTTTATTTTTATTTTTTATTTTTTGACAGGCAGAGTGGACAGAGAGAGAGACAGAGAGAGAAAGGTCTTCCTTTTTGCCGTTGGTTCACCCTCCAATGGCCGCCGCTGCAGCCGGCGCACCGCGCTGATCCTGGCAGGAGCCAGGAGCCAGGTGCTTTTCCTGGTCTCCCATGGGGTGCAGGGCCCAAGCACCTGGGCCATCCTCCACTGCACTCCCTGGCCATAGCAGAGAGCTGGCCTGGAAGAGGGGCAACCGGGACAGAATCCGGCGCCCCAACCGGGACTCGAACCCGGTGTGCCGGCGCCGCAAGGTGGAGGATTAGCCTATTGAGCCACGGCGCCGGCGGAAGATAATTTGAAATTCACGCAGATGAGGCATCTTCAAAGGGCTTCTGGAAAAGGCCTATTATGAAAAAAACATTAATTTCCAATTTTTGCATCGAAATAAACTTGCCTTTTTAAAAAGATTTATTTGAGAGCCAGGGAAAGAGAGCTCCTATCCACCAGTATGTGCCCCAAACACCTGAAACGGTTGGGGCTGGGACAAGCCAAAGCCAGGAGCTGGAAACTCCATCCGGGTCTCCGGTGTGGGTGGCAGGACCCGTCACCTGAGCCGTCACTGCTGCCTCCCGGGGGCCGCATTCGCAGGAAGCTGGAGTCAGAAGTGGGAGCAGGGACTCGAACCCAGGCCCTCCAATACAGGAAGTGGGCCTCTTAACCACCAGCCCAAACACCTGCCTGTAAACGTGGATTCTGATTTTCCTTTTAAAGATTTATTTATTTATTTGAAAGTCAAAGTTACACAGAGAGAGAAGGAGAGGAAGAGAGAGAGAGAGAGAGAGAGAGAGAGAGAGAGAGGTCTTTCATCTGCTGGTTCACTCCCCAAATGGCCGCAACGGCCGGAGCTGTGCTGATCCAAAGCCAGGAGCCAGGAGCTTCTTCTGGGTCTCCCATGTGGGTGCAGGGGCCCAAGGACTTGGACCATCTTCTCCTGCTCTTCCAGGCCATGGCAGAGAGCTGGATCGGAAGTAGAGCAGCCGGGTCTCCAACTGGCGCCCATATGGGATGGCGGCACTGCAGGCAGCAGCCTTACCTGCTACGCCACAGCGCCGGCCCCAGATGTGTATTCTAATTTCGTATCCCACAGACTTTTTGAAGTCCCTGCGTAGGACGGATGTCCTCCCGCACTGGCCGCTCCGTGGGTGGACCAGGCTTTCCCATCCTGGTGCTGTTGGGTCTGGCAGAGTGACTTCCGCTGTGCACTGGGATGTGACAAGAGTGAAGTAAGAGAAGGAAGGGAACCGGCTTGGCCTGGGGCCTCCCCTCCACGAGAAGGTGGTGCACTGGTCCCGGTGACAGAGGGACACGTGGAGCCTCTGGGAGCCCACCTGCGGCCTGAGCCAAGCCCAGCGGCTCCTAGCCCGGATCGGCTGACTCCAGCTAGAGCCAGTAGGTGGTCACTCTTGGCAGCCACTATGCTTGGGGAGGTTCTGTGCGTAGCAGACTGGTGCAGCCAGCGGCACCCAGGGAATGAAGCTGGACACTCTGCATGCAGCCTTCCAGGCCCTCCCGGGGCTCACAGTCCTTCTGCTTGCAGCTGGTGCCCTGCCTCTCCTGTGCTGCTCCGGCCTCGGCCGAACCTCAGTCCTGTTCCTGACGCGTGCAGAGCTGAGCTGACCTCGAGGGGCTGCTCCTCCTGCCTGGACTCCTCCTGTCCCCACTGTCCCCACCTCTGGAGCTCCTCTTTATCGTTTGGGACCCAGCTTTCTCCAGGAAGCCGTCGCGGGTGTCCCAGGTCTGGGATGTGACCACACAGCACTTGGTACTTGGTTTGCCTGCCGCTTGTCTCTCTCCCCCCACTAGGGGGCGCTCCGTGAAGGCAAAGACGGGACCCCCCAGTCCTGGCTTTACGGTCCACTCACTGTGTTTTGCCCCCCTTCAAATCTCAGTCTGCCTGCCTGTAGAATGGGAACGATCTCATCAGAGCTGGGCCGGGCCCTCGCCTTGCTCGGCCGCGGGGGGAGAAGTCAGCAGGTGCCCTTTACTCTCCCGGAGCCTCTGCCCCGGGCCTCCTGGCTTCCCAGCCACCTCCCTGGCTTCTCCTCCAAGGCTGGTCAGCAGTGTCCTGCACACGTGTGCCTGTCGGGGGCGCTCTTTGTCCTGCTCCAGCTTCCGACCCAGCTGTCCCTACTGTCACTCCACTCAGCCTGCCTTGTCTCGTTGGTGACAACAGGCAGCAGTGGGGGCAGGGATCGAGGGAGAGAGGAAGGGAGGCTGGGGTGCAACTGAGTTTCTTCCACGTGCCTGCTCCCACCCAGCTCACAGCACCACCAGCACCCATGCTGGCAAGAAGGGACACCCCCAATTTTCCGAGGAAGAAGTGGCTCACTCCCCTTTGCCCGGCATGGATTCAAAGTCAGGCCCGCTGGCTCCGAGGTCGGTTCCCACAGGAGCAGTGACCCGCGGT